CCCACCGATACTATTTCTTGCTTTTTGGGGGGGTGGGGGGGGAGGGGGGTTGAGGAGTGTTGGCACAACCTTCCCTAAAAGGAATGGTTATTGGTAGCAAGAGAACGCAGTTGGTGTTGACAAGTGTTTGGAGTTGGTAATATGGTAGTCACTTGAACCTGATCATTTTCACGTCATGTGTGGTACCTGTTGACTACCTGTTCAAGATTCTGAGGATTAGTATTCCCTTCGGCCCGGTCACAGGTCTGATCAACCAGGCTGTTGGATGCGGCTGCTCGTAGCCTGACGTACGAGTCACAGCCTGGTTGATGGTGGTAAAGCTTGGACTTGATCATTTCCTCTGCCTGGGATCGATATTGATAAACATCACGAAGGAATCTTTGTGCAGCCCGGCCTCTAAACAATTACCCAAAGTCCATTCCATGCACCCGCCAACCCCCCCCCCCCCCTGTTTATGAATGAGAAACGGTTTACACACGACTCACAACTGCTGACGATTGAACACTTCCGGAACAAGTGCTTCGCTGATGACTTTTGTTCGAACCACAACGCTGTAAATGCTTCACCCACGTACTACAAATAATCGCCAAGAGACCCTAAACACCTAACCTAACCAGTGTCTAAATATGTACCATATTGTAATATCAAATAATATTCATTTATAATTGAGAAAATTCCCATTTTGATATCAAGCAATCGAAAACTTCTCTTGGAAGATCGACAGCAAGAACCTCATACTCCCAATTATAAATAACCTAATTAATGCACAGAGTAAAGGGTCTCGAATTTCCTTTGTATGGATACCTTCACACATAAATATAACCCATCATAATGAGACAGACATTGCAGCCAAATTAGCGTGTAACAAGTTTGAAGTTGAATTAGATCTAGGTATCCCCATCTCTGCTGTCAAAACTGTATTGGTCCAAACATTCAGATCTGATAGGAAAGAACTTACCGACTCCCAACGACCTGAAAGTACTAGTATAAAAAGCTATGATTTGTTCATATTTGAAACCTACATCTATGGGCAGCACAAGACGTGGACCAGACTGTGCGACACAGTGGTTGCCAGGATCAGGTTGGGTTACCGTTACCTGTGGCAGGTGGCTGCAGGTGACGGGTCTCCCAATCCTGAGCACTCCAGGTGCAAACTCTGTGAGCAGGAACTACGGCACGATCTCCCGCACTACATCACTGAATGCCCAGTTATTAGATCTTTCAGACCAGTTGGCATGAGGTACCTGGAGCTTTGCAATTACTTTATTCATTCTCATATTCTTGAAGATATCCTCACAGTGTACCCAAAATTTGCCAGTGCAGGCTACTAAACATATGGCTCTGTATGACTAACCATCCTGCGAGATGGGGACTTGTATTACCACTGCTACCTTATTCAATCTTGTGTTGTTGATATCCTCAAAATGCATCCGGAGTCTGCCAGTGCAGACCGCTTATCACATGCCTCTGTATGACTAACCATCCTGTGTGATGGGGATTTTTTTAGCATCACCTAGTTAGCTTTTTAGACACACTGTACTCCACTTCATATAGTCTAGGGTAGCTGCACTAATGCAGATGTACCTCATATCTTAATAAAAAAAAAATTGATATAGGCTTCGGGGGACAGCCTGGCATATGCCGCTGATATCCTCTTGATATAGGCTTCGGGGGACAACCTGGCATATGCCGCTGATATCCTCTCGATATAGGCTTCGGGGGACAGCCTGGCATATGCCCCTGATATCCTCTCGATATAGGCTTCGGGGACAGATCTGGCGGATGTGTATGTACTTGGTTTAATATGTTGTACATTGAACATTAGCGTTTATGGGAATAGAGAATCCATAATGGCACTCCTCTCTATTGGTGCTTGCATGCCATTACACAACTATGTACACTCGACGTGCTCTAGGAACTTACGAAACCCTTAAATCCTATACCCACATCATTAAACACCTACTAAAATAAAAATAAAACATGGTAAACACCTGACCACTATCCTCACACACGGGCAGATTAGGTGTTTCGCGAACAGAAGCCACAGTATCACCACTACCAGTGCCCAAGCTGTTTCCCAGTTTCCAGGTTCCAGACCCGACAGTACACATCACTCAGACCTCCATCGTCATTCTCACCTCTACGTATATATATATATATACATATGTATATATAGGCTTAAGCAGGCGACGAGTCACAATAACGTGGCTGAAGAATGTTGACCAGACCACACACTAGAAAGTGAAGGGACGACGACGTTTCGGTCCGTCCTGGACCATTCTCAAGTCGAGAAGACAATTTGACTTGAAAATGGTCCAGGACGGACCGAAACGTCGTCGTCCCTTCACTTTCTAGTATGTGGTCTGGTCAATATATAGGCTTAAGATCAGTTTAGTCAGAATTTGCCTCGTCAGTTAGAGTTTATATATATAACCTTTACTCACTGGTTGGTGCATGGGGGACTTTATCTTGCCAAGTAGTTAAACAAGAGTTTTCCTTATCCATAACGTGTGTTTACGGTGAGCTGATTTGTGATTGGTCGACGCTGGACTACCGCCTGTCTGCAGGGAGGTCAGTGAGTCTACACGTTTTGGATCAGCCGTCAGCAAGGCTCATTTCCTTAATGCATATACAGGGGGAATTGAGCGTTGTTGGAGGCTGGATCCGAGCTCCGAGTTGGGCCATGAGCGCCAATCATAACCCAGCCTATCGTCATCTTGATTTTTTAATTGGCCCCCCAGGAGTTGCTTATCACTTTCCTCAGTAGAGGAGAATTAATTGTCATTTATTTATTTGGCTTGAGTTAGCATTTATTTACTTATCGATCCAAATTCCATTTTTATATTTTTTTTGTTTATTTTGCCTAGATTTTCTCTAATACTTGAATATGTTAATGTGACCATTTAGTTCAATAACGGTGTCCGATATCCCCCTATTTATTTTGTCTTGCTAACATTTTTTGTAGGTATTGCTCCAACTGACCCGCCCAGAGGGAAGAAGATAGCCTCGGGAGAACGCTTGCTCACTCCCAACATCTTAATTAATTTATAAGAAGCAGAGCACGTTAGTTGAAGAGGGGGGGGGGGGGTTCAGGTCAGCGGCAGTTAGTCTGATAATGATAAGATAGCTGTAGCTTTACTGTGAAAATAGTGTTTAGCATTGTTATGTTTTCTTCAGAATTAAGATTCCCCGAACAGTTGGGAGCCGGTCGGCCGAGCGGACAGCACGCTGGACTTGTGATCCTGTGGTTCCGGGTTCGATCCCGGGCGCCGGCGAGAAACAATGGGCAGAGTTTCTTTCACCCTATGCCCCTGTTACCTAGCAGTAAAATAGGTACCTGGGTGTTAGTCAGCTGTCACGGGCTGCTTCCTGGGGGTGGAGGCCTGGTTGAGGACCGGGCCGCGGGGACACTAAAGCCCCGAAGTCATCTCAAGATAACCTCAAGATGTGCATATATTCCATCGCGTGATTGATTGATTGATGAAGATTAAGCCACCCAAGAGGTGGCACGGACATGAATAGCCCGTAAGTGGTGGCCCTTTTGAGCCATTACCAGTATCAATAGATGATACTGGAGATCTGTGGAGGCGCGACTGCACCCTGCGTGACGGGAGATGTCTCCCGGACCAAATGGTGACCAGATGGTCCCATCGCGTGGCTCATCAAGCTTAGAATATGTGGTGAGAGGTGTGGTGAACTCGCCTCACCAGTCGGAGTGGTGAGGTGGAAGGTTTTTATACACGGAAGTGTTATCAACTTTGACGATTTTAAAAATATGTTACGGGCTATTCATGCCCGTGCCACCTCTTGGGTGGCTTAGTCTTTATCAATCATCAATCTATAAATATGATGGCACTGAATGGCACCGTGTTAGAGAGGAAGCTACAATGGCACGGAAGTGCCTTTGACAGGCCTTTATGGGGGCCTGACAGCTGAGTGGACAGCGTTTCGGATTTGTAGTCCTGAGGTTCCGGGTTCGATCCCCGGTGGAGGCGGAAACAAATGGGCAGAGTTTCTTTCACCCTGATGCACCTGTTCAACTAGCAGTAAATAGGTACCTGGGAGTTTAGACAGCTGCTACGGGCTGCTTCCTGGGGATATGTAGCAAAAAAAAGGCCTGGTCGAGGACCGGGCCGCGGGGACGCTAAGCCCCGAAATCATCTCGAGATAATCTCAAGAATAAGACAGCAGGAAACTAGATGAATAGGTTGTCATAGATTCAGCTACTCGGAACAAGCTCCAAGTAGCACGGACTATGGTGAGCCCGTAACTTACCCGGCACAGGAGCGGGGCAAGAAGCACGGGCTATGCTGAGCCTCGGATGAATAGGTTTTAACTGGAGCACATGTACTCTTTGCTAACTATTTCCCCAAATTATGTATAATATGCCTTAATAGGCATTTTCTTGCTATTGGTTCAGTGATTTTTGTTTAAATTAGGAATCAGGGGCCAGATTCACGAAAGCACTTACGCAAACACTTACGAACCTGTACATCTTTTCTCAATCTTTGGCGACTTTGTTTCCAATTATTAAACAGTTAATGAACTCCGAAGCACCAGGAGGCTGTTTATAACAATAACAACAGTTGAATGGCAAGTTTTCATGCTTGTAAATTGTTTAATAAATGTAAACAAAGTCGCCAAAGATTGAGAAAAGATGTACAGGTTCGTAAGTGTTTGCGTAACTGCTTTCGTGAATCTGGCCCCAGATGCAGGCGATGAGTCACAATAACGTGGCTGACGTATGTTGACCAGACCACACACTAGATGTTGAAGGTACGACGACGGTTCGGTCCGTCCTGGACCATTCTCAAGTCGATTGTGAAACGTCGAAACGTCGTCGTCCCTTCAACTTCTAGTGTGTGGTCTGGTCAACTGGCCCCAGATGTTTAGAAGGATTATTTGAAGAGATTAAGACTCTTAGCCTTGACGTAGGTTGGGTGACAGGGGCTTGTGGAAGAATTTGAAAGCTTATTCATTGCTTATTTTTTCTCTTATAGTTTTGGAACATCCTGAGCTTTTTGGGGGCGTTAGACGATTTGACGGTAAATATACATAGTAATCTTTCTGGCTTCGTGACAACCATTATCTAAGTCTCCATGTTGGTTGCCTCTCACCGGATAGATTTCTCTCACCCCAGTCAGTCCCCAGGCACAGCGGTTGTCCCAACGCAACACCCTCACTCACTCTTGGCGCGACGCACTCTCAAAAAAAACCAGGGGCCAGATTCACGAAGCAGTTACGCAAGTACTTGCGAACCTGTATATCTTTTTCTCAATCTTTGGCGGCTTAGTTTACAATTATTAAACAGTTAATGAGCTCCGAAGCACCAGGAGGCTGTTTATAACAATAACAACAGTTGATTGGGCCAGTTTTCATGCTTGTAAACTGTTTAATAAATGTAACCAAAGCCGCCAAAGATTGAGAAAAGATGTACACGTTCGTAAGTGCTTGCGTAACTGCTTCGGGAATCTGGCCCCCAGGTCAATTTGGCGAATTCCGCGGACAAATTGTTTGACTTAGGAGGCACCGTGTGCTCTTGTGGCGGAGGTCTCGTGGTTGGCATGTATTGTGTTGTGTTGCGGGAGCCGCTGTCTTTGGTGACGTCATAACCAGGCTTGACCGCCCCCCCCCCAACCCCTATGTTACCCCTACTCTTACGAATTACGTCGCTTTTCGCTCGTATGCGTAACGGTTAAAAAAAAAGGCCGTAATTTGAAAATGAAAAATAATTGAAAAAAATATTTGGAATTTTAGTTTTCCCAAACAGGAAGTTAATCCCGTGTGTAGGTTCGAACCCTTCATCAAGTCCCTTGTGGAATTGTTCAGCAAGTTAATTAAGAGTCCTTTGGGAGGTTATGAGGGCAGGAAGTTTTCCTAAGATTTCAAAACGTCATGAAAACCGTTAAATTGAAAGTTTCCTCTCCTAACCTAACCGAGTAAGCCGGAGGACTCCAAACAGAAAACGGGACAGTACGGCATTACCATGAGCCGATTTCATTTTAAATTACGTCCATTTTTAGCCTGAGTGGCGCGCACGAGCGAAAAGCGACGTAATTTCTAAGAGAACGGGTTGCTATGTTGGCCTCCTTGATGACGGAATATAATAACTTGCGCCTCGATGGTGGCAGCGGAAAAGGTCGTCCACGACGTAAGGGAAACAGTCAGTGCATTGCTTCATCACATTTTTGTTACTGTCAACACCTGCATTAGAATATTTGTGGACAATTTCATTAGTTTGGCTTCAAATTGTACACATCAAAGTAGCTGAAACTGTTATTTATGTACATAGTTGCCTTACTAGCAGAGGTGCTGTGTTCATGAGCCAATTCTGACATCACTCACTGAAGTGATGTCACTGTTGTTCACTGAAGTCGTCCGTAAAGATGGTGCGACTTTTCCCCTGCTGCTCATACTGCAACCTGTCCTCTTGAAAATAACGTCGCTTTTGGCCGTTTACCCCTATGGCCGAAAGTGGACGTAATTTGAAACTTAAAAAAATTAAAATAAATTTGGGATTTTTTTTTTTCAACAACAGTAAGTTAAGGGTCCTCTGATTGGTTAGGTGGGCAGGAAATTCTCATAAAGTTTCTAAACGTTATGAAAAACCTTAATTGAAAGAACGAATTACCTTAATTGAAAGTTTCCTCTCCTAACCTAACCTAACCGAGTAGGCCAGACGACTCAAACAGAAAACGGGACAGTACGTCGCTTTTGTGAGTCGATTTCATTTCAAATTACGTCCACTTTTGGCCATAGCGCCGCGCATACCAACGAAAAGCGACGTTATTTTTAAGAGGACGGGTTGCTTGCTGGCCACCCCACTAATACTCCCATGGTTGTGTGTGTGTGTGTCTGTTAGCCCTTACTGTTTGGTTCCTAGTTATTAAGTGGGACGTACTGTGATTAGCGCAAGTAACTGGAATGATAGAAACACGAGTATCTCGAATGCATGGACTAGGATGCATAATTTGCCTTCATTTGTTCCTTTAATTGACAGGGTGACACCATCGAAGTTAATGTTAATTATTGTTTTAGACTTGTTTCTACTAAACTGTAACATGTAATGTTAATATTTGTTAATAACCTGCACAGCGAGAAGACGTGAAGTTAATTATGTTCACGGTGACGGTGAGTTTAGTGCCTTAACCCAGTAGTCTAGTGTGTTGCGGGGCCTAGTGTGTTGCCACCTCCTGCCCCCACACCCACGGTGGCAAGGTGCTCCCTGCAGGTGTTGTGTGGTGCTCTGTGTGATGAGTGGTGACGTGTGGTGTTGCTTCTGCTAATCTTGCTACCATGCTGCCTCTCTGTGTGTGTGTGTGTGTGTGTGTTACTGCTGCTACAGACGCGCATGGTGGTAGTATTAAGTTGTGGCCAGAATTGTGTCCACGCCGATAGACTGCCGATAGACTGCCATCTATTAAAAAAACGCAAATTGATATAAATTTCCATTCCAGGCTTAACGGACCCGGCATTTGTGACTTCGAGTTTAGGCAGCAAAATTCTTCATTATTTTAAAGTTTTAATGCGGTTACGGTTTTCAAATGTGTGAATAGTTTGCGTTTTTGGTAAAAAAAAAAATGCTTACACTTTTCAAAAGTGGGAATATAGTGGCGATCTGGGCGGCTTTACCACATGTGGTGATGCCAGGTTCGAAACTTCTCCGTGTATTCTTGAGCGGCACCAAGACTCAGAAGTCGTGAGTGCCCAAACAGTGCCATGTGACATTGTTTAGTAACTTCTTACTGCCATGCATTAATCTTTAGCTGGCACTGTGATGTAATGTAATCAGAGCCTCGTGTGCTGAAGCTCGCCTACACACATATATATATGGTTCAGACGAGCATAATGTCTACAACTGCTGCCTTCCGGTCGGGAGCCGGTCGGCCGAGCGGACAGCACGCTGGTCTTGTGATCCTGTGGTCCTGGGTTCAATCCCAGGCGCCGGCGAGAAACAATGGGCAGAGTTTCACCCTATGCCCCTGTTACCTACCTAACAGTAAAATAGGTACCTGGGTGTTAGTCAGCTGTCACGGGCTGCTTCCTGGGGGTGGAGGCCTGGTCGAGGACCGGGCCGCGGGGACACTAAAAAAAAAAAAAAAAAAAAAAAAGCCCCGAAATCATCTCAAGATAACTTCCGTAATTACACTGCACTCATAGTCACGTAGTAGCTGGCAAACGTGATAGATAGTTTTAAAGTTTCTGTTATCAGAAACATTAAATTTGTCTTTAAATAGATCCACTTTAAATGTACAGAATGGAAAGATGACACACTACTGTTGTGTGTGTGTGTATGTATATAAATATATATATATATATATATATATATATATATATATATATATATATATATATATATATATATATATATATATATATATATATATAATATTATATATGACAATTATGGCCACCGATTCCGTAGATGTTTATGCTATATTGTATTTATGGTGATGGGCAGCAAGGCACACAACCTGAGTCAGTAAACACTGTTAAAACTGGGCACCTGCTTGCTTGATACCTGGTTGATGGGGTTCTGGGAGTTCTTCTACTCCCCAAGCCCGGCCCGAGGCCAGACTTGACTTGTGAGAGTTTGGTCCACCAGGCTGTTGCTTGGAGCGGCCCGCAGGCCCACATATCCACCACAGCCCCGGTTGGTTCGGCACTCCTTGAAGAAAACTATCTAGTTTTCTCTTGGAGATGTCCGCAGTTGTTCCGGCAATATTTCTGATGCTCGCTGGGAGGATGTTGAACAACCGCGGACCTCTGATGTTTATGCAGTGTTCTCTGCTTGTGCCTATGACACCTAAAGGGCAGGAATCTTTTAGTTAAAGTATCGCTAACAATCACCAACGACCTACACAGTAACTTAATACTACCAAACTACACACAAATATGTCCTTACAGGCACCAAAGGAAAAAAAGAACGAAGTTGTGACTATTGACAATTATATTTGATAATTGAATTGAAACAGATCACACTGCTTGTGTTTGACGCTAAGCTAATCCGCTTTCCTGTGTGTGTGCTGTGTAGCGTAGTTAGTTCTTAAGGTCCTGGTAGTGAGTTATGTAGCGAGCAGGTACAGTAAAATCATTTTGCTGTAGCATTATTTATCAAATCATTAATTTATATTTTTGTTTTGTGTACCAAAAGTAGGATTTTATTGTAGAATGTTAAGCCTAGGGGCCACTGGCATTCCCAAATGAACGCCTCTTGCAGTATTTGGCAGTTGTCTCATCCGATTGTTGAGTTCTAGCTGGTAGGTCGCGCCTCGCCGGACGGCCGCGAGCCCCGCCGGACGGCCGCGAGCCCCGCCGGACGGCCGCGAGCCCCGCCGGACGGCCGCGAGCCCCGCCGGACGGCCGCGCGCCTCGGCGGACGGCCGGGAGCCCCGCCGGACGGCCGCGAGCCCCGCCGGACGGCCGCGAGCCTCGCCAGTTCGTCACAGCTACCATTGGTATAGTAGTTACAGGCGGTACAGTAGGCTGGGATGGTGGCGGGTGTGGGCTGAGGCAGGATGGTGGTGTTTAGGAGGGTGGGCAGGACGACCGGTGCAGCTGACACTAACCTCTAGCCTCCCTCTCCCTGCTACAGGATGGCCTCCAATCCACCACGTCAGCGACCTCGCCGCCGTCAACGATTCGACAGATCGAGGCACCCCCGCCGGCAACGCAGGAGACAAAAGCACTGGTAAGTTGAATTCCTGTTTGTTCCGCTCTTGATGGGATGACATTTGTCATGGTGTTTACATCAGGAAGATTGGTGATATGTTCATCGATGAACGGCGCCCTGAGCCAGATGCCACCATGCCGGGGGCGTGGCTTGTGCATGGATGTAATTTGGGGCATCCAAGGATCGTCTTGTCCATGGGTTTAAATAAGCCCCCCCCCCCTCCCTTTGTCAGTGTGAGAGTTATGAGTGTGTGACGTTGATCTGAAGGACACTGTGGGGGATTTATCTGAAAGACTGAGTGGGATACACAGTGGTTTACAGAGATTTAATAATAGACTTGCAGACGCGCTCTGCAATATATATATATATATATATATATATATATATATATATATATATATATATATATATATATATATATATATATATATATATATATATATATATAATATATTTACTATAATTTTTTTCTTATGAAAGAGCCCAGTAGGCATATATTATATCATATCTACATTTGAAGCTGTGTATGGAGTCAGCCTCCACCACATCACTTCCTAATTCATTTCATTTGTCTACTACTCTGACACTGAAAAAAATCTTTCTAACGTCTCTATGGCTCATTTGGGCACTCAATTTCCACCTGTGTCCCCTAGTGCGTGTGCCCCTTGTGTTAAATAGTCTGTCTTTATCTACCCTATCAATTCCTCTGAGAATCTTGTATGTAGTGATCATGTCCCCTCTGACTCTTCTGTCTCCCAGTGACATGAGGTTTAATTCCCGTAGTGTCTCCTCGTAGCTCATACCCCTCAGTTCGGGTACTAGTCTGGTGGCAAACCTTTGAACCTTTTCCAGTTTAGTCTGATGCTTGACTAGATATGGACTCCATGCTGGAGCCGCATACTCCAGGATTGGTCTGACATATGTGGTATATAATGTTCTGAAAGATTCCTTACACAAGTTTCTAAAGGCCGTTCTTATGTTAGCCAACCTGGCATATGCCGCTGATGTTATCCTCTTGATATGGGCTTCAGGGGACAGATCTGGCGTGATATCAACCCCCAGATCATTCTCTCTCTCAGACTCTTGAAGGATTTCATCTCCCAGATGATACCTTGTGTCTGGTCTCCTGCTCCCTACACCTATCTTCATTACATTGCATTTGCTTGGGTTAAACTCTAACAGCCATTTGTTCGACCATTCCTGCAGCTTGTCCAGGTCTTCTTGAAGCCTCAAGCTGTCCTGTGTGTGGTGTGTGTGTGTGTGTGTGTGTGTGTGTGTGTGTGTGTGTGTGTGTGTGTGTGAGAGAGAGAGTGTATGTACCTCCACCCACACATCCGTGTTTTGACGTAACGCTCTGAGATAATCTCTCAGGGGCACCAGACTGCGCCTCTTGCCTCATTTACTCCTCATTTTACGAGCGTTTGCCAATAGCAACCTGACAGCTCTTTCTGACTTCCTTTAGTCCCTCCCGGCAGCCTTGCTTCCCGGGGCGGCTCCTCCAGCGTGTGACACTACCCGCACCAGCTGCCCTCCTTCAGCAGCTGGCACTCCTGAAGAGCAGCACTCGTGAGGGTGCTGATGGCAAGGGAGGAAGTGCTGGCACTTCGCCTCACCTTTGTATCTTGTATTATTTATGTTGGCTGTTGTCGCCTTGTGCCACGCGGGCTCACTATAGCCCACGCTACGTGGGAACTTTGTTCCCAGTGGCTCAATCTAAAATAACACCTGTTCCACACGCCTCGCCTGGTGTAGCGGGTGAGGCTGGTCGTGGCAGGTGAGGCTGGTCGTGGCGGGTGAGGCTGGTCGTGGCGGGTGAGGCTGGTCGTGGCGGGTGAGGCTGGTCGTTACGGGTGAGGCTGGTCGTTACGGGTGAGGCTGGTCGTGGCGGGTGAGGCAGGTCGTTACGGGTGAGGCTGGTCGTGGCGGGTGAGGCAGGTCGTGGCGGGTGAGGCTGGTCGTGGCGGGTGAGGCAGGTCGTTACGGGTGAGGCTGGTCGTGGCGGGTGAGGCAGGTCGTGGCGGGTGAGGCGGGTCGTTACGGGTGAGGCGGGTCGTTACGGGTGAGGCGGGTCGTTACGGGTGAGGCAGGTCGTGGCGGGTGAGGCGGGTCGTGGCGGGTGAGGCTGGTCGTGGCGGGTGAGGCTGGTCGTGGCGGGTGAGGCAGGTCGTTACGGGTGAGGCGGGTCTTTACGGGTGAGGCAGGTCGTGGCGGGTGAGGCTGGTCGTGGCGGGTGAGGCTGGTCGTGGCGGGTGAGGCTGGTCGTGGCGGGTGAGGCAGGTCGTGGCGGGTGAGGCAGGTCGTGGCGGGTGAGGCTGGTCGTGGCGGGTGAGGCTGGTCGTGGCGGGTGAGGCTGGTCGTGGCGGGTGAGGCGGGTCGTGGCGGGTGAGGCGGGTCGTGGCGGGTGAGGCGGGTTGTAGCCAGCCATGATGCTGGGGAACATACAGATGAAGAAGCAAGTAACGGCGCGCACATACATGGCACCACTTACTCCACCCGCCACGACCACCTCCGTCCTGTTGAAATAAAAAAAAAGTTGATTAATTGACAGTTGAGAGGCGGGTCGAAAGAGCCAGAGCTGAACCCCCGCAAGCACAATAGGTGAATACACGACTCCTGGTTCCTGGCTGAGTGCTGATTCCTAATGTTGAAGCAACTCTTGGCTCACGCTGCTTGCTGACTTCCCACATACACATGTACTGAAGGCCTACCACACCTGCCCTTACCACACCTGCCCTTACCACACCTGGCCTTACCACACCTGCCCTTACCACACCTGGCCTTACCATACCTGCCCTTACCACACCTGGCCTTACCACACCTGCCCTTACCACACCTGGCCTTACCACACCTGCCCTTACCACACCTGCCCTTACCACACCTGCCCTTACCACACCTGCACTTACCACACCTGCACTTACCACACCTGACGAGATGCTTCTCACAGCCTTAATTAGTGAGTTTTCAAGCGAGCGATCGTCATAGTAAGCGCCATTTGACACAATCATTTTCCTCTTGCTGGACTACGGGTGTGTGGTATCACGGGCACGCGGCGACAAGCTGCGAGGTTTGGTTACCAAGTGTCGTGTTAACATGTGTGTATATACCAATGTAATACTGGAAGAGTGCGACCTGCGGGTCTGCTTGTTTAGTATTCTGCTCGGGAGAGGCCGGTGTTGGCAGGCCGAGACGATGGCCACCTTTCACCATCTCGTTCTCACGCATCTTGAAGTACGATATTGCTCCTTCCAGACCACTACACTGTCAAAACGTTGCTGGCGAGCGGAAAAACAACTTATATTTCAACCCTTGGTGCAGTTTACACAGTGAGCGAGAGAGAGCCCTCACCCCATGTGTCTGGTCTCTGTGAGAGCCCCCCATGTGTCTGGTCTCTGTGAGAGCCCCCCATGTGTCTGGTCTCTGTGAGAGCCCCCCATGTGTCTGGTCTCTGTGAGAGCCCCTCATGTGTCTGGTCTCTGTGAGAGCCCCCCATGTGTCTGGTCTCTGTGAGAGAGCCCCCCCATGTGTCTGGTCTCTGTGAGAGCCCCCCATGTGTCTGGTCTCTGTGAGAGCCCCCATGTGCCTGGTCTCTGTGAGAGAGCTCCCCCATGTGTCTGGTCTCTGTGAGAGCTCCCATGTGTCTCCAGCGTGTACTGCTCTAGTTCAGCAGTGTCGTCAGGGAGTGTCTACTAACTAGAGTTCCACTCCTTAATCTTCCTGCACGCATGACTGTCGTGGTGGCGGCACCCGCGCTGTTGGTTACGTTAGCACTCGGACCACGTCACGCCATAGTAACCTTTTTCCCGCCACATTTCACAGGCGCCCCGGGAGCATGTTCCCTTCCCTCTCTCACCAGTGGGTTGGCGGTGGGACGGGGGATAGCGTGATACCTCCCCTCTCTCACCAGTGGGTTGGCGGTGGGACGGGGGATAGCGTGATACCTCCTCCCTCTCTCACCAGTGGGTAGGGGGTAGGACGGGGAATTGCGTGCTCCCTCCACCTTAGCGCCAGATAAATATGCGGCTTGCGAGGCTCCTTATCTTGCCAAATGATACGAAACAGACTGAAATGAATTCTCAAAAGATTCGCCACTGTGGTCTTGTCGAGCCTGTTAACATTTAGACACACCAGCCTGTCTGGGAGCACATCTCGGTGGCGCTACACCGGTGAGAAGCCTCCACACCTCCAGACAGACCTCCACTGTGTAATCCATTACACAGTGGAGGTCTGTCATGCCTTGTAACATCTTTTAGCGCCAGATGCTGCATTCCATCCACTTGGGCCGTTTGGGTCTCGAACCGTGGAGGTTATCTTGAGACGATTTCGGGGCTTAGCGTTCCCGCGGTCCGGTCCTCGACCAGGCCTCCTTTGTGTTACAACCCCCCCCCCCCCCAAGAAGCAGCCCGTAGCAGCTATCTAACTTCTAGGTTACCTGTTTACTGCTTAGGACCTCACGCGTTTGTGGGGTCCTAAGCTCTATCCATTTTATCAGACGTTGCATCTTTCCATCGTACGTAACATGGGGCCAGATTCGCGAAGCAGTTACGCAAGCACTTACGAACCTGGGGCCAGATTCACGAAGCAGTTGTGCAAGCCCTTACGAACGTGTGCATCTTTTCCTCAATCTTTGACGACTTTGGTTACATTTATTAAACAGTTTACAAGCGTGAAAACTTCCCAATCAACTGTTGTTATTGTTATAAACAGCCTCCTGGTGCTTCGGAGCTTCTTAACTGTTTAATAATTGTAAACAATGCCGCCAAAGATTGAGAAAAGATGGACAGGTTCGTAAGTACTTGCGTAACTGCTTCGTGAATCTGGCCCCTGTACATCTTTTCTAAATTTTTGGCGGCTTTGTTTACAATTATTAAACAGTTAATGAGCTCGGAAGCACCAGGAGGCTGTTTATAACAATAACAACAGTTGACTGGGAAAAGTTTTCATGCTTGTAAACTGTTTAATAAATGTAACCAAAGCCGTCAAAGATTGAGGAAAAGATGTACACGTTCGTAAGTACTTGC